ATGTAAATGCATTTTGAACTTTCCACATTAGCAATGCCCAGTATTCCCAGAGTTAATTTAGAGTTTATTAAGCAGGCATCCTCCGATGGTGGTCTCTAAATACTGTTTCCCGCTAAAAGGAACCAGATCTCCTTAGTGAAGTGGCTGGTGCCACCTGGGACAGAAAGTGTGCAAACCGAGCCTGGAACACCTTGTCAAACCGGAAAACCGGATGCTATTGACACTACAGGTCATATGAAAGGTTCCGGCGCCAACCTGAGGAGGCTCGTTTTGAACATCAGTAAGGATAATAATAAAATTTCAGTAATCGAGACCCTTAAAATATGTTGAAAACATGACTTTGTAATTATACTAAGAAAAAAACAAACAAACAAAAACCCTCTGGTCAACTCTGAGAATGCTGTATAACCAACTTATTGTGAAAACAATATAGGGAATGAATCGAGCATTTATCCTGCCTATACTATACAAACTGCACCTCAGGATAACCAAATAGCTGGTTATGGAAAATTTCTTTTTATAGAAGCATTTCAACTAATGAAGAAGGAAAATTAGAATTACAGTAGCACCATTTGGCAACCCCTAATAAAACAGTGCACCTAAGCAATGATCATTGAGTAGCTGCTAACATCACAAAAAAGAGATAAATCACCTGCTTCCAGTACCAGGTACAACACCTGCATGAAATAGTCTTGCCAAAAAAAAAAAAAAAATTGAATCTGATCAACCTCTAGAGCAGAGGTGACAAACCTTCCTGCAAAGAGCCAAGTAGTAAATGTTTCCAGCTTTGCTGGTCATATGGTTTCTGTTGCAACTGGGCTACTCTGCTCAGCTGACTAGAGGAGCCCTTATGCAGCCACAGACAAAACAAAGTGTGGCCAGAGCTGGCCCCGGAGCTTGCAGACTCCTCCTCCAGGTCTACCAATGTACAGGAAGTATGGAAGACAGCATCACATGAATGCAATTAACAAAATCTAGACTGTGGGAGACTTGACAGGACAATTACCATGGTTTCTTCAACAGAAAAGTTCCAAGGAGAGAGTTAAAGCAGCCAGGGGAAGATTTTTTTTTAAAAAAAGACAAGAAACGTATCAACCAGTTGCAATGTGTGGAGCTTATTTAGATCCTGACTCAAACTATAAAAAAAATAGAAGAGAATCAGGGAACTTTTAATACCAACTAGATATTTAACATATAAAAGAATTTTTAAGTGGGGTAATGATTTTTGTGTGTATGTGTGTGTATAAAGACACATATACAGATGGTACCAAAAATATGTATACACATTTTAAGAAAGGAAAAACTATTAAAATTATGCTGGTGGTAACCACTTTGAGTACCTCTTGTAATTGCAGAAGTCAAATGTGACTTGTATTCATCTTTTATTATCAGTATATATTGAGTATTAGAATTGTAATACAGTTCTTTACCTTTCTTAAAAAGTGTATACATTTTTTTGGTGCCTTCTGTTATATGTATATGTGGAATATATATATTCCTTAGGTTTAGAATATGTGTTGAAAACATTTTAAATTATATGATGTCTAGAATTTGCTTCAAAACAATCTTTGATTTTAGAAGAAATAAAATAAGCCGTGAGTTGATAATTATTTTGTCTGGATGTTGGGTACTGGGATTTATTTCATTTTGCATATACTTGACATTTTAATGACATAAAGATTTAAAAATATATCCATTGACATGTTTTTAAAGGATGGAGTACTTTCCATTTATTAGACACTCCTGGGCCCTCCTAAAATAGATGTGACTCTCTGGCTAAGAGTTGGAGCCAGAAGGGTCTTTCTAGTACTTTTTCTCCCCAAACTGTTTACATACATCTTATTTGTTATACTAAATGCAGCCGGCAGATATCATATTATTTATCATTAGCTCATGTGTTATATGCAAAGTATATTTTATTTTGTAAAAAAAGAATTTATTAGGTTGAAGCTAAGCTTCATGTTTTGTGACTGGCTCTACTTGTCTCCCGTTGGTTAATGGATTGGTGTTGTGGCCACAGGTGGAACACAAGGGACGACAACGGGGAGTGGAGGGCACTGTGGCCTAGAGGAGTGGCCTGTATGAAAGCACTCGCCCAGCCCCTAGGGGTGGTTGCTGTGCAGGATATTTGCTGTGGGAATGAGAGCTCTCCGCATTACCACAACTCCTATTCATTTTTGCTTTTCCTGAGAATAACTCTAACTCTAGATTGTATGTGACATCTTCTAAATTTTAATTGCTTAAATATTTTTAGAACACCTTGTATTCCAAACCAAACAACTTGAGTGTCTGGATTAGTCTCTTGGGTCAGCCTCTGATTTAGTATCTACCGATGGGAAGCCCCAGATAGGACCCTGTGGGCCCTGGGATTCTAAAGTCTCGTGGCCCCGCTTTTTCTGTGAGCTTCCAGCCTAGCTGGGAGGAGAAAAACATACTTGACAAACAAAATGAGAGGTGTAGGTAGGAAATGCTATGGGAATTCAGGGAAGGAGGTGAATAGCCCTCTCCTGGACAGTCAGGGACCGCTTCCCACAGGCCATGGAAGGAGTTGTGAAAAGAAGCACCAGTACTGAGTAGGTGGAGAGTAAGGGAGAGAAACCGAGGCATGGGTGTGGGCAAGACCAAGGACTAGCAACTAGGAAATAGACCCTTTAAGAGGAGAGCTGGTGGAGTTCTCAGACCAGGGCCCTCCATAGCCCCTGGACAGAGGACTTTTCAGGCCAAGATGGTGTTCTGAACGATCAGGTGAACATATGCAGCAAACAGGTGAAAGCATGGCACTGAAATTCAGCTACAGATTTAAGCATCATCTGAGTAGACGTGATGCTTGAAGTCGTGGGATCTCTAGTGGGGTCTATATAGTTTCTCTGCCACCGATAAGTGGTACATTTTTCAATGGAGGGATGCGCTCTGAGTCTGGCATTTGCAAAACTACCGACTGATTATTCACTACACTAAATCTCACTTAAAGCTCAAAGCAGCACCCAATTACTTCAAAAAACATTGCCCACACTGAGAAGGAAGGGTTTGGAGTAAGAGAAACTAAAAGTATATGGGGAAAGAGAAACCCACATTTAGAAGGAGATGATGGTTTTATTTATAGGGTTATGACCTTCCTCCATTGATGGCTTAAACTAGAGCCTTTTTTTTTACTGTTACAAAAAGATTTTTCAGGAAATGGGAACATTTAAACAGATTCATATTGATGCTGTGCAATACATTTAGGTAACATCTTTATTCTGTCTCTTGTATTTGAAAGTTTAAAGTGTTATTTCTCTTAAAAATAGACAGGAGGTTACTATGTTCTTCCCATAATGAGAAGCTGCTCGTTCTAGAGAGTAAGCATTTCAAAGCCTGATGACTTCAACAGTTATTTTATGTAAAAGATTGTCTATTTGGACGTGAATATGTATCAGTAGAGGAATTTTATGAGCATAAAGTAACTTATGGATCAGTACCCACTCTCTTGGCAACGGAACTTTGGAGAGAAGTGAAAGCTTAGTCTTCGACATGTACTTAGCCAGGTGAGTTTAGATGAGTGAGCACTGAGCCTAAGGAACTGAGGCCAAGCAGACGTTATGAGTCTGCCCAGACAATAATCCAAAAAAACCCCGAATCCAGGTCCTGCAAAGCTCCAACACTGTCCCCATGCACTGACATGAAACTGCTCATAAGCATCTCAAAAAATCCCGAATCCAAGAAACCAAGAAAAATACCCATGGCAGCCTACCCCCACTTCCTAATGAAACTATTCTTTTAGCAAATATTCATAACCAAGTAAAATTCTGCTGCATAAGATGGCTATTTTGAGGGGACATTGTCTTTGCTGACTCTAAAGACATTGGAGCTGTGACATTTCTGTCGGGTACTGACCCTTTCTACCTGGTTTACCATCTTCTACATACATCTATAACATTTAGGGGAATCAACTTTAAGCTCCAAAAGGCAAAGCAAACCTTGTGTCTTTTAGGATTTATCCAAATTAAATTTGGTTTTCAAAGTTTGCCCCACCAAGGGGGTTTTTTTTGGGGGCTTTGGGGGTGTAAATTATGCAAGTCCAAGGCCGAACCGGCTAAGAAGGAAGAGTCAACAAATTTTATTGATGGAAGTTGCACCTTGTCACGGATTTTGACCCTTGTCCCCAAAATTTTAATGACTCTTTTTTTCTTACCGTGGCCTTTGTGTTATTTTTATTTTTAAGGAAATAAGTTATCTTAGAAAAAAAGGAGGGAGGGAGGGCACAATGTCTAATTTTTAGATGAACTGAGTAAAGCTTCCATACTCAGGATTTGGAAGCTGTCCATTGTCCAACAGGCTGAAAGAAACTCAGGGGATTGTCATGGTATTAGAGCCAGTCCTGGGTGCCAAAGTCAAAATAGGCTGCGCTGGCCATAGGAAAGCCCCAAGTAGGAGCGTATGTAGGTCATGTACATGTTTTGAATTTAGACAGACTGCGTGTACGCAATTATTTTACTATTAAGCTCTGGAGAAACTCCGAATGCTCTGCATTTTAAAAAATGTGCTTGTTTCACAAAACAGCAGAATATCGCAACATCACCTTGAACGGCGGCCTTAGTGGTTCACCTTGTGGTCCTGTCCCCTTCCCATCCCCAGTGAATTTTACTCTCCTTGGAAAGTGTCTGGAGCTAACAAGTGAGGCTCAGGACTCAGCACAGTCGTTTTCCTAGTGACACTCAGTTAACATGATTTTGAAGCAATGAAAAATAATTAGACAAAACAGAAAGTATGTAAGCTATCAGGTTTAATTCCCCATGTATTTACTGAACACCTACGATGACCTAGAGGTGGAAGGAGGACACGTGCATAGAAAGGAAGGCAAGGAAGCACCAAATGCTGGTTTTGCTGCCCCAGTGCCCTTCCTGTTCCTTGGAGCACACAGACCTCATTTCCCCCTCACTCCTGGTCACCTGTCTCCTAAGAGGCACCTTCTTTCCTGTTTTCTGCAGATACAGCCAACTTCCCACACGTGACGCCTAATGCACGTGACGGGTAATGCACGTGACGCGTAATGCACGTGACAGGAAAGACAGATTGGCTTCTGGAAAACTCGTGCTTTGCAGGAGCTCGGGTCTGTATAAGGGGAGAAACAAATTGGCCGCGTCACAGATTCTGCTTTTATTGTACTAGCTGCCACCGTTAGGGTCTTACTGAATGAAAGTATTTGCTTTTTCATAAACACCTGTAAATGGCCTGCCTCTTCTTTGTCACAGCTAAAGAGAGCTTGGTAAATGGTAATCAAGGAAGAAAGCACATTTAAAAAAAAAAAATCACTGTAATGAGACTATCAGTAGGAAGAATGACATCCTCACAATTGGTAAATTTACCAATTTTCTGCCCCATTGTAGATCTAAGGGCCCACTTCAATTTATTTTAATTAACAATTCTTTAATTAAGAAAATATGTTCATGTTAAAAAATCGAATATACGGTAGTTATAAGACAAGCATAGCAACCTCAGTGGTTTCTCCCTTAGAATGAATCCAAGAGCCATGTCAGGCCATGCAGGCACTTCAAGGTCTGACCCCTCCTTCCACTTCACCTCCTCCAGGTCCCTTTCGTCACAGCCACCCTGACTTCTAACACCATGTTGGTTCCCACCCCAGGGCCTCTGCTCTGCCATTCCTCTGCCTGGCACACCCTTCCCCCTGCTCAGTGCCTGGCGGGGTCTTTCTCATCATTCAGGTCTCATCACGTGTGCTCCCTGCACAGACGTGGTGTCTCTGACAACCTCGTCTACTGTGGTCCCACCCCGGCCCTTCCTTCGCCGACATCACCGTGTTTTATTGCCCTGGCCCTGATCCCTCTCTGAGGTCACGTCATTGCTTTCTGGTTTAGTTTCTGTCTCCCTTTAGAATGGAAACCCCAGGAGGGCAGGGGTCTTGTCCATCTTTTTTATGGTTGTATGCCCAGCATTTAGACAAGGGCCTGTCACACAGTAGCACTCAGTAAATACTGGTTTAATTGAATGAACGTGGCTATGAGAAATAAATAACAATTAGAATAGCGTCTGGCACTTAGTTGGGACCTACCAAGTGGAAGTCCCCTTCCTCTCCCCTCCCCATCCCCTTAACACCATATATTCAAAACCGATTTAATCTACACTGTCCTAGCTTACATATATTAAGAAGGTATATGAGTACAGTGAATCATACCCGGTTGTGTACAAAGTAGTCCCCCAAAGTGTGTTTGTGTCAGTAGACTCTGAATGTTCTTTCTTTAATTTTTCAGGTTGGCCTTGACGGAAAGAACCATGAACTGGCATTTCCCCTTCCTCCTCGTGGCCACAGTGACTTTGCCCTCTGTGTGCTTGCAGTTCAATCCTCAGCCCCTGGAGGAACTGGGCTCCGACATAGGAATCCAAGTTTTCAATCAGATCGTCAAATCGCGGCCTCGTGACAACATCGTCATTTCCCCCCATGGGATCGCGTCCGCCCTGGGCATGCTGCAGCTGGGAGCTGGTGGCAGAACGAAGCTGCAGCTCGCCACGATGATGAAGTATAACGTGAACGGTGCGTGCGCCTCGCCGTGGCTGCAGGCCTGGCAGGGGTCCTGTGTCAGGAGGGCTCCTTGCTAGAGCTTTGAGTCCAGCCCCGGGAAGCAGGCAGATCAGCCCAGAGGGGTTTCCCTGGTGCCATCTGGGAGTCTCCTCTACGTGACAGATGTTGTGGTGCTAAGAACTAGGATAGCTGGAGTGTGGCCTCTGTTCGGTAGCTGCAAGGCTTTGGGTCAATCACTCGATCTCTCAATGCCCCAGTTTTCTCATCTGAAAAGAAACCTTCCCATCTATCCCACCTCCATGGCATACAGGGCTACACACGCATTATGGCTGTGGGTGCACTTTTAGAAATGGAAACTGGGAAGGAGATGGGAGGGCAGCACAAGGAAGCTGTGATGAGCTGTTCTGTGTTGAGCACATGACAGTTGTGGTAGTGGTGGGCACATGAATCTCC